TTTCATACTCTTTTCAATCTTTTCTTTTTGTTTCTTTTTGTTAGTTCTGTTCGTTTTGTTTGTTTTGCTTGTTTTTTCAGTTTTTTATGTTTGACTTTCCTTCTTATTTTATAAGCAGTCTATTTAAAAGATGCTCGCTTTTTTTAAACAAAATTTTGAAAAAAAACTTTTTGCGAACGTAGTTACCAAAAAAATTAATTCCTTGTTATTTAAGAATCAAGTTATTATGTTTTTTTAAAAATAAACTTTTTTAAATATTTCAAAAAATGATTTTTTTTTCGTTTTTTTTAATCTACGACCACACAAAATGTGCGACTAATGATGGATTTGTAAATGCGATAACAGGAAGCAATGTTTTGCCTGATTGACGTTATGATCTCTCTCTTTCTCTCTCTCTCTTTTTCTTTCTCTCTCTTGTTCTCTCACTCTTTTTTTTCTTTTTTTCTTTCTTCTCTTTTTCTTCATTTTCTTCTTTCAATCTATTTTTTGTTACTTTATTTATTATATTTTACCATTTTTTGATTAAATATTTCTCTCTTTCTCTCTCTCTCTCTCTCTCTCTCTCTCTCTCTCTCTCTCTCTCTCTCTCTCTCTCTCTCTTGCTCTCCTACAAATATTTTTACATAATTTCACACATAGACAGGTAAATTAATTGAAATTGTATAACTCTTGAATCGATGAATAAATGTCGGTCGTAGGATTATATTGGTACAAGTAATGACGATTTCTCCATAAGTAACAACGTGAATGCGCGCGCACGCACACGTGGACACACGCACGCACACACGCACTCACATGCACACATTGTGAAAGAAAAACCCACACACACGCATACACACACCCAGAAACGAAAACACATATACACACGCACTTGTGGCTGTACATACACGCACACAAAATGACATACAAAAAATAAACTAAAATACGAACACAAACAAAAAAGTATACACACGCACCCCAAACATACAACAAAAGTTATACAATTACAACAATTGAAACCCCTAAACTACTCAAAAGCGCAATACATTCATAACTAATCAATCACGTTGTTGATCTGCACAGGCGGAGTAATCATAATTGCAAACAATATCAGCTGAAGTAAAAAGTTAATCGGCTTTTATGTTCATTGATAAGTAGAAATAAAAAAAATATTAACTGGATATTTGATAAGTAACTGAAAAACAACTTAAATCTATCGATCAATTGGTTTCCACTGTATCGTGTGTGTGTGTTCGTTTGTGTGTTCGTTTTTGTGTGTGTGTGTGTTTTGTATCGTATATGCGTCTATGTGTGTGTATGTTCCTTTGTGTGTGTGTGTGTGTGCGTGTGTGTGCGTGTGTGTTTTGTTGTATTGAATACAGATAGACCTACTTACCTGACAAACAGAAGCAGTACCGCAACCAACAACAACAACAGCGAATTAATTTTACTTAATGGATTGCTTGATTCATGGTTTGTTGTGTTTTACGTTCTCAACACTCCTCATTATTTAAAAAGAAAGTTAAAAAGCTGGGAGAGAGAAAGGAGAAAAGGAGGGAGAGAGAGAGGAGTGGGGGAGGAGTATAGCGGAATCTTATCTATTCTGTTTAAATTTATTATCGCTAAGTTACAAAGAAATTAAAACCGCGAAATGATCGGAAAATGGTGAAATGTATTGTTAAAAAGTAGAAATTAAAGAGTTAATTATTGTTCCACGTAAGCGCCGTTTCATGTTGTTACCATTAATTCGTAGTGCATCCATTTTTTCACTTGTCTCATTATAAATAATTTATTGATCTGATTTCTTTCTTCTTTACCTTTCATGTCGAACAATTGTTTAAAGTTCGCGAACTGTAAAAAAATTTACGTTAGGCTAAAGTTACGTTACGGGAGCACTTGGATAGATAGAATAAGTAAAGCAGTTTGTTAGATTAATTAACGCATTTTTTTCTACCATCAAGGCATGACATCGTTTTTTGTATGCACATAACATCGATTTAAATATTTTATTACCGCAAGAAACAATGCAGGGACCAAAAAACTTGAGAGAGCGGTGAATGATTAAATAATAACATGAATAATAAGACGTTGGAGGAAAGTATCATGTTTTGAAATCATTTTTTTTAACTTTTTTTTGTTTAGTCTTAACTAAACCACATAGCAGCGTGAAATGATGAAGTGATGAATTATTTTCCGACCTGCAAACTGTAAGACGGAGGAATGTTTTTTTTCCAGCCCAACTAAGGTTGTTTCATCATTGCTGGATAATACTTTTGACATTTATTTCAATTTTCGATTTCGCTTTCCTGGTTTTAAAAATTTTTAAAAATTTAATCATCCTCCAATATAGTTAAATTTTTTTCTACGCTTTTTTTTCGAACGTTTAGAAAAAGTAATATTAATCGTCAGGTGGGCATGAATAAAAAGTTCATCTTTGTTTTTCGGAGCTAGATAACCGTTCCAAAATCTTTTCACGTAAATTTATCATTTTATTCATCGAGTTTATTAGTTGAATGAACTAACTCTGCGTTTGTTGAAAATCTAATTTGTCTGGTGATTTATATGTTAAATAATTTCAATTTTGAACGAAAGTGGTACCATATTTCCTTCTGTTTCTCTCTTTTCCTGTTTCTCTCTCTTTCTGTTTCCCTCTCTTTCTGTTTCTCTCTCAGTTTTTCTCTCTTCTCTTCCTTTATTCATATTTTTTTCCCTCTCTCTCACCTGTTTCTCTTTCCAACATCATTCCAGATGAACATTATTTCTGTTCGAATAAACATATTAAAAAAATTAACACAACTTTAAAAACTGGCTGAAGGATTTGAAACCTGACATAAAATAAATTACATAGTGACTAACTAATGATAGCAATACAAAAAATTGAAAATAGGATACAAATTCTGGTCTAAAAAGCAAACACGTTAGAAATGAGAGAAAAAGAGAGAAGTGGAGAGAGAGAGAGTGGAAGAGAGCGATTATTAATTATGACGAAACGCGATCCTATAGAGAGGAAGTGTTTATACATTTTCATATATTTTTTCTTTCAAATCTTCTTTTTTTTAAAAACGTCGAATAATATTTTCTAACAATTAAATTTTTTCAAACTTGAGTTCAAGAAGAGAAATTTTGACCTTTTTTTATCAAATTTTTTAATAATTCTACTTAGAACATATAATCACAATGAAACATTCTACCGTAAATTACAAGAAAAGTTTTCTTACAAATTCATTTATTTGAGTTTGATAATAAATCTATTAAATTGCGCGACAACTGTTCTTTACAAGACAGTTCAATTTCAGAGCAATAAAGTAGGGAAATATTCCCTCCGATTTCAAGCCATATAATTACAAGCATGTTTCGAACTGGTAGTATAGAGACATAGGCTTATTATATAATAGATGTATGAAACGAATTAAATGGAAGATGCACACGTGTTTTATAATTGTCTGATAACGTACAAATATTAACAATAATTATTATTATTGTGTATATAGTGTATTATAAATATAGAAAGAGTAATTATAAACCTATTATTTAAAGCAAGCTTCTATTCTAAATATACTACAGAATATTTAAGGATTTGTTAGGATTTCGACGTAAATAATAATAATTACTATTATAATTAATTAATAAAATTAATTAAAATTAACGAAGGTTTTGATGAAAATATTGATAAGTCCTATGAAACTAGCAAGGCACAGATAGGTTAAAATGAATTGAACCTCACTCAATGATAATTTTATATTCCTACTGGCCCAACTAGTTTCCAGTGGATTTGTTACGTCGATTAACTGAAAGATTTAATTTGATAAAAATAATGAAATTTGAAGCTGAATTTGTTAAAATTTAAATTTATTGATAAATTTAATGTAAATGTATTAATAAATCAGTGGTTCTGCCATATGCATAGAATATCTGAACACATAATTTTATTATCTATTTTCACAAAAATTATAAGTCTGTGTTGTTGACAGAACGATATTACAAGGACAATCGTTCTTTTTTTGTGTGTGTGTGTTTTGTATGTTTCGTCATTCATTGCCTGATTGATTAGTAATTAATTAGGGAGGGCTGGTTGACCGAACAGGATGGGGATTTTAGAAAAAATTTCGGAGATCGAGAAGGAAATTGCCAGAACGCAAAAGAATAAAGGTAGAGTTAGTAGTAGATTTTGATATATCATATGGATGGATGGATACACAATACAGTGTATCCGCATGTATCCCAGTGTTGTATCCGATACACTGATACATTCATGTCATAGTGTGGTGGTCATCTGGTCACCATTGATTATAAAATTCACGAATTTTTTCAGATCAATTACAAATTTTGACCATTATTCAGATCTAAATCGATAACAATAATTATAATAATTATATATATAATTATATATATATATATAAATTATAGTACAAATAAAAAAATTATACTTTTTTACCACTTTTACCAGCAACCGAATATCATTTGGGGTTATTGAAAGCCAAATTAGCAAAATATAGGGCTCAGTTACTAGAGCCAACAGGCAAATCTGGAGCTAAAGTTTGTCATAATTTGTCATAATTTAGTTATATATTAATTAATTAGTCTTATTGTCATAATTTAATTATATTTTTTTCATATTATATATAATATTCGTTAAGAATATTAAATTAATTTAAAAATTTAATTATTAATTGCTTAATGTGGTTTGATATTTTTTAGGTGATAAGTAAAATGTTTTTTTTAAATATTAATGTCATTGTTTAATTTTAATATGATAATTATAAAGATATTTATGATTGTATGATAATTCTGTGACACAAAAAAAAATTATGTAGGGGGAGGGATTTGATGTGATGAAGTCGGGGGATGCCAGGGTGGCCCTCATTGGCTTTCCATCCGTCGGAAAGGTAAGGTGATGATGATAGTGATGATGATGATAGAGACGATGATAGTGATGATGTTGATGAAGGTGATGATGGTAAAGATGATGAGGATAATATTTTTTCAGTCGACATTGTTGAGTACACTAACCGACACAGACA